CCCATCCCCTGCACTCCCTTTTACCCTTTGTATTCCCTACCCCATTCCTAGTAGTTTAAAAATAATAAATTTATTTTTTTTAAAAAGGAGTACTTGCAAGATCTATATGCAAAAAGTTCCACAGAGATGAAAATTATAAATACCTTGGAATACTAGGATATCTCTCTAGATTGAGAGTGAAGACCAAAGTCCAGCTGAAATGCCTGCGAGACTTCCTCTTCGCTGATGATGCAGCTGTTGTTGCCCATTCTGCTGAAGAACTCCAACAACTTATTTGAGTAAGGCCTGCCAAGATTTTGGATTAACAATCAGCCTAAAGAAAAAAAAAGTCATGGACCAGGGTGTGGACTCACCTCCTATCACCATTTCCATACAAGAATTGGAGGTTGTTCATGATTTTGTATACGTCGGCTCAGCAATCTCTGACACTTTCTCTAGATGTCGAGCTGGATAAATGCATTGGCAAAGCAGCTACCTGTTCTCTAGACTCACAAAGAGAGTATGGCTAAATAAAAAGCTGACAGCATATACCAAGATCCAGGTCTATAGAGCCTGTGTCCTGTGTCCACTCCAGTACTGCAGTGAGTCCTGGACCTTTTGTGCACGGCAGGAAAGGAAGTTGAACACGTTCCATATGTGGTTTCTCCGACGCATTTTTGGTATCACCTGGCAGGATGAAGTTCCCAATAGAGTAGTCCTAGAATGAGCTGGAATTTTTAGCATGTATACATTACTGAAACAGTGACATCTACGTTGGCTCGGGCATGTTGTGAGAATGGCTGATGGTCGGATTCCAAAAGATCTTCTGTATGGAGAAGTAGTGCAGGGAAAGCGCCCCAGAGGGAGACTACAGCTGCGATACAAGAATATCTGCAAGCAGGATCTGAAGGTTTTAGGAATGCATCTCAACAGATGGGAAACTTTGACATCTGAGCATTCAGCCTGGAGGCAGGCAGTGCAGCATGGCCTCTCCTAGTTTGAAGAGACACTTGTTCAGCAGGCCGAGGCAAAGAGGCAGTCACAAAAGCAGCAAAACCGGGGAGCTAGGTAGGGGACAGATTGAATTGTCTTCATTGTGGAAGGGATTGTCACTCTTTAATTGTCCTGCTCAGCCCACTAGATGCTGTTCCAAGTCCTCTATTCAGAGCATGTTACCATAGTCTCTTAAGACTGAAGGATGCCTACACAGGAATACTAGAAGCAGACAGCGTTGTGCACACAAGTTAAAGAACTGACAGAAATATATCAAAAGACTGTGGAAAATCTTAAAATCAAAATTAAATGGGAGAAATACAATCAAAGCCATAAACACATGGGCCGTTCCAGTAATTAGATACTCAGCTAGAATAATAGATTGGACTAAAAAAATGAATTAGAAGAATTGGATCATAAAACATGGAAACTAATGAATATGCATCATGCATTACATCCCCAAAGTGATGTGGACAGATTATATTTACCATGAAAAATCGGAGGCCGTGGATTACTGCAACTATAGCAGGTAAGAGAGGAAGAAAAAAGAAGCCTAAATGATTATATCAATACAAGCAGAGAAAAATTACTGGAAGCAGTGAAAGTGGAGAATATTTTGAAAACAGAAACAAAGGTTCAATATAAGAAACAACAATTTGAAAATAAACAGGTGGAAAAAGAAACCAGATGGGCAGCCCCTGAGAAATATTGATGGAAAGCCTATAGCAGGTAAGAGAGGAAGAAAAAAGAAGCCTAAATGATTATATCAATACAAGCAGAGAAAAATTACTGGAAGCAGTGAAAGTGGAGAATATTTTGAAAACAGAAACAAAGGTTCAATATAAGAAACAACAATTTGAAAATAAACAGGTGGAAAAAGAAACCAGATGGGCAGCCCCTGAGAAATATTGATGGAAAGCATGATCATAATTAGAGATGGGGTATTTATAAAAAATATAACTTGCCAGCCTCCAAGAAAATGTGGGAACATCAGATAGAGAAGTGTCAGAAAATGAGGAAGTCAAGATCTTGTGGGATTTCTGGATCCAAACAGGTAGACACTTTGAACAGAATACACCAAGACATAGTAGTAATAGAACAAAGAAATGGAACAATAATTGACATTGCAGGATGCCAGAGTTCAAAATAAAGAATTGGAAAAACTAACAAAATACAGAGACCTGGCAATCTAAACATCTTGCCTCTGGAAGAAACACACTTCAGTCATTGGGGCTTTGGGAACAATATCAAGAAACTTCACACAGTACTATAAGCAGTTGCACATCTCAGAAATCCCATCATCAGAGCTACAAAAAATGGCAACATTAGGAACAGTATACATATTGAACCAATATTTAAGAAATATATTTTATAATACCAGTTAATATTTTTATAATTTTGATTGCCTGGTATTTTTGATTAACAACAACAATAATAGCATGCCATCAGGTCAATTCTGACTGACTGCAACTTTTTCCTGGGTTTTCTCTGTAGGGAGTATACAGAAGTGGTTTATCAATCCCTTCCTCTGGGGGTCCCCTGGGACTGTGCATCTTGCCCAAGGCTACACAGGCTGGCTCATCTTCCAGGAGGCACAGAGGGGAGTTGAGCTCTCAGGCTCTGGCTCCACAGTCAGATGCCTAAACCACTGAGCTATTCAGCCAGCTATTGTGTTTAATATACTTGAAAATATACGGTGTTTAATATACTGGAAAAAGTAATAAAACAAGGTGAGATAATACTCAACCCTTAAAAAACTGTTTGTAATGTAAGTTCCTGAATGAGACAGCAGGGGGTGGTGTTTCCCTTGCCAATTCTGCAGTCTGAGTGATACAGGTTCTGTCCTTACTGTCTGTTTACTTTGAAGCCAGGATTATTATTGACCCAGCATATATTCTCTATGCACCTTCAAATTCTTCACTTTTTTCCCAAGAGCCTTTTTATTGGAACAGGTGTGAAATATACTACAGTAGTTCCAATTTGGAATGGTGTAAATATCCAAAACTCTGTTTTACAGCAGGAACACATTGCTCAAGAGCAAAGTAGGCTAAGTGCAGTCTTAAGAGTGTTTTCAAGGCAAATGAAATATTTAAGTAGTTTTACCATTGCCACCACTACTCCTCTGAGTTTCCACGGGCAATCAGGGATTCAAATCAAGGTATTCTGAGTACTTGTCTGTCACCTTATCCCATTTTGTCCATAGGGAATGCTAATACCTAACCTGGGATTGTGTTGTAGGAAGCGTCAGAGGGAGGAAGAAATAGAAGCTCAAGAGAAAGCCAAGCGTGAGCGAGAGTGGCAGAAGAACTTTGAGGTATCTGTTCTTATACAGCTTTGGATGTTTCCTCAAAGCATCACCTGTCTAATCTTAAAACATACTTGCTCTAGCAATAATCATTAAATTCAGTGGAAGTTGCATGAGTGGGTGGTTTTACTCATGTGCACATATGTAACTTGCTGGGTTTTGCCAGAAATCAGCAGGTATGGGCTGAATTTAAACTCATGGGATCTGCCTCAGTTTTTAGTACAGTAGAAGCCACAAGATCCACCATTTACAGATGGTGGAAAATTATCAGCAGGTGAGATGGGACAGGTGAGATGGGACAGGTGAGATGGGACAGGTGAATGCAAAATGCTAGATAAAAAAGTGCGACCTACTGGCTTGTGCATAGGCTGCAGACAAGAATGGTGTGGATACACAAAGATAAAGCTGCTTTAGTGCAGGTCAGGAATTCTGCCACAGTTCTGAAACTGACCAACAAAAAACAAGCAGAATATGAAAGCTTTAATCTCCCAGCTGCTTTGGGCTGATTCTCCTCTCATCTTTCCCATATTTAGGAGAGCCGAGATGGACGTGTGGATAGCTGGAGGAACTTTCAAGCAAATACAAAAGGAAAGAAAGAGAAGAAAAACAGGACCTTTTTGAGGCCCCCTAAAGTAAAGATGGAGCAGCGTGAATGAATCTGGCTTTTCCAGGTTTTAGTGGACACTCCTATATAACCACGTTTAGCCCTTCCTTTTCCATAGGATCTTTGTTTTCAGTACAATTGAATCTTGGTCAAAGTAATTTCTCTCCTCTCCCCATTTGCCTGGGATACGTGATGTAATGTCAGGGCCAAACCTCCTGCTTTTAGAACCCTTGGCTCCTAAGAACCCACAGTCATTGCATATACTTGTAGTTCCTGTAATTCTGTATTCCACGAATGCTGTTGTTCAGATTGCCATCAAGCATCCAAAATTGAGCAACGGTCCAGCTTTAAGGCAGTTGCTGAAAATGGTGCCTAGTGAGTCCCCTGTTCATCTAGGCCTGTTGTCAAATTCTCATCTGCATCAATTTCTACTTGTTGGTAGTGAGAACTGGAGCCTGGAGGTGCACAGTTTGATGTCTCAGAATTCCCAACTCAACTGTGTGGAGTTAAAATTATCCTCTAGGCCTAATGTCCTGCTGATAGCATCTGGATTCCAGGATTGGATATGGGTGAGTGGCAAGTTGCAAGTATCAGTTCCAGACCCTTTCTGTAAATAAATTTTAAAAAGAATCTTGAATTGAATAGTCTTTATTAGTGGCAATGTTATGTATGTAAAATAAATTTTTATCCAAACTCTTCTGATTATGCTTCTCAGTTTCTCCACAGAAGGTTTTCCAGTTCTAATTGTTTTTACCCACCATGTACATACCATATTTGCTGGTGTATAAGATGACTGGGCGTATAAGATGACCCCCCAATATTTCCACTCAAAATACCACCTTCGAAGGAGATGTTGGGGTGCACCAACTCGAAGCGCCCGATCTCGGCCCAGATGGCTTGCCGCGAGGCCGAACTGTGGCTGTGGCGCCCTGCCTGGCAACAGCCCCAATGGGCCCCCCCGGGGCAGCCAGGCTCAGCAGTGCCGGCGGCTGCCCGGGTCTCTGCCTGGGCCCGCCCTGGAAGTTCATGGCCGGCGACGAGGCCCAAGGAGGGCGAGGAGGAGGGGAAGCGGGGGGGGAAGCGGCTCTCCGGCGGCAGGTGGGCAAGCGGGCAGCTGGCTCAGCGGCACGGGGCGGCGGGCAACCTGGCGGCGAGCTCTGGCTGCTCAGGCATGGCCGGCTCTGCCTGCCTCCCTCTGTCCGGACCGACCGCCTGCCTGCCTGCCCGCCTGCCTTCCTCCCTGGCCAGCGCAGCTCCATGTCATTCACTCAACGGCGGTGGTGGTGGCTCCTTTGGCATATAAGACGACCCCCCCCCACTTGGAGGCATATTTTTCAGGGCAAAAAAGTCATCTTATATGCCGGCAAACATTGTACAGTAATCTTGACTAGAGATGGACACAAACCAAAAAATAAATCAGGAAGTTTGTGGAAAATCACTGGTTCATTGGTTCAGGTTTGTCCAAACCAGAGAACCTAAATGACCCAAACCACAAACTTTTTAACCATTTCCCCCCAACTTCCTGGTTCATTCCCCTTTTCCTGACCTGGTCACCTCCCTACCTTTTGCTCCAGCCACCTCCACTACCGCCAACTTGAGAGGCAGTCCGGCCAACTCCCACAGGCTAGGCTAGGCTACCTCTTGAAAAAAAAAATTTGGGAAAGGAAGCCTAGCCTATGGGAGCCAGCTGGGCCACCTCTTAAGATGGTCGCAGCAGCAGGAGCAGCAAATTATAGGGAGGCAACAGTCAGGGGGGTTAGTTGTACTTTTAAAAGGCATGAAATTAAAAAAAAACTGATTTGTGGTTCTTTTTTTTACGTTCTGGTGTTTTGTCAATTTTTATGGTTGATGCCCATCTCTAAACTTGACATTTCCTCATTTCAGTTACTATAATATTTACATTGTAAAACTTGGTGGGTGATTGATCTTGCAACCAAATTCTGCAATTGGCAATTGTAGTAGAGTCCATGTGGAATAATTTCTTTGATTGCAGAGATAGCATGCTAGACTACATACAACAGGTAGTAATTCTGGGTATTTGTTTTAAATTTAACAGCCAGTGCTAGCCTGAATTCTGAGTTCTGAAAGTCTGATACACAAGGTTGCTTGCTGCAACAGCATGTGCCAGTTTGGCCTCAAACCAACAGTGGAGTGCTCAAGGAAGTATACAACAACAGAAAATGAATCTGTACATATGGGTTGTGATTCACTGCCCAGAACTTAACATTTGATTGGTTACTCACTGACATGCCATAATGCAGCTGCTTTGTGTGAAGCAAGCTTTTGCAGTTTCTTAAACCCAGCCTTAAAGTTGAAGACATTGGTGTGTGAATCAGCTCCTATTCCTTCTCTGTTGCCTAACAAGTAAGGGTTTTCAATTTCTTCTAATGCCAACAAGCATTATGATGTCACACCCACAAGTGTTTGAGTCTGATGACGAGGCATGGATAGCGACAGTTTTCTCTGTTGCTCCATATTACTCCTGAGTGTGGCTATGAAATACTGTGTGAAGTATTGTTACATTTAGCTTTAAGTCCCTTCATTCCATTCATACTCTTGTCTTTACAAAAAAAAAAACTGTCAGGTGTTGCTGTTTTATCACAGTTTTCTGGAGATTAGGAAAGAGTTCATTGTAGTAATCTTAGAACTACTGTAACTTGATTAGGCTATATGCAGAATACCTCTTAATGAGTTGGTAAAAGTTTTTTTAACAAATTTATTGAATACAAACAATTTTGCCTGAAGGAAATACAGTTCAGTTACCCTCTTTTCATGTAAAACTACTAAACATCCACATTTGGCATGAAAATTTCAAAACACATGTGAGAGTTACATGGATAACCTTTGAAAAATAAGAAATTGAGATATATTGTAGAAGAATGGATGTAAGTTTACCACAAACATGTATTTAAAAGACACTGGAAATTGTGGGGTGAAGATGTTTCAGAGTGACACAGCAAGTATCAATATATTGTCGCTGACAAAATTCATTCTTAAAATATATCTCTGCTCTCAACCAGAGGGATCCAAGAAAATTGATGATTGCTGAAGTTATTGCTCTTTACTGATCAAAAAGTCCTGCTGCTCAGAGCTTGTGAGCCCTGACTCCACTGTCTACTGCTTCTTTGTTGCCTTCTTTCTCTTCACATGGAAGAGTATCATGTTCTCCATACCCCGATGGGTATCTCATTCAAAAGCACAGAAAGCTTGGTAGCTATCAGGAAACCATCTGCTAAAAATGGATATCTCTCAATAATTAAAAATCCAGTTACAGTTCTTGACAATTATATATTGACTTTGAAATTATAAAGGACTCTGAGGTTAATTAGGTCAAAATAAAGCCGTAGTCCATATCCCAGTTCCAGATTGTTTAGAGCGGGGTGCAAAACGTCCATTCTGTCAAGGTCCTGCCTTAACTTCCATGGTCCACTTTCTAGCAATAGATCTAAATTGAGGTCCATATCCGATCCTCAGGCCACAAGTTTCATGACTTTGTTTTACGGATTTAAAAGTTAAACCCAAAATAATTAAGGAAGAAACCCCAGGTTTCTGCTTTGTCTTTTATATTTCTCCACTTCAGAGCAAAGCTGGGTTGTATTATTAATCATATGTTCATGGTTTAATGGGGTTGAGGAAGGAAACAACTTTCTGAAGATACTGATCTTTTGTCTCAAGGGCACTGAAACCTTTTCAGGCCTTCTTTTTCTACAGTGAACAGCAATATGTTGCTGCTATAAGTTAATGGAACCTCAAGAACAGCATTCAAGTGAAAAAGACAGACAGAGAGAGGATTACCAACGCCACATATATCCTCTATGAGTTGTTGGCCAAACTGTGGCTTCAGAATTCAGACTCCACCCAGGTGTCTGTTTTCATACTGAACAGGTTTATACAGCTTCTTGTCAGGTTCTTAGCAAAGGCCTCCTGCCAAGGAAAGAGACCAAGGGGGGAAGCCAGCTTGTTCTTAAGAGATACAGAATGTTTTTTTAAACAACAGGCTATCACCTAATAGGAACATTTAGTTGGGAGCAAGAGCCAATGGTAAGAGCAGCTCCAGAGCGGAAAGGAGACAGAGTTTGGACCGTCTCTCTGCCCCCCCCATCCCATCTTTGTAGGCCACATAAAACTAGGACTTTGCAGCATCAAGCAGAGGAATGTATTCACCCACTACAGCCTTAAGAGAATTTGCTGGACCAGGAGGTGAACAGTTGTGTGAGCCAGCATCCTCTGGCAGCACTCTGGTCTAAAAAATCCTGTTGGGGCTCCCCGTGTTCATTAACTTTTAAATCTCAGCCACAGGTTAACAAGGCTTTCTGAAGCATTCAGTACTTTGCAAAATCAAGCAGGTTTAACAAAAACTCATCAATACTAAAACAAATTCAGCTGACAGCAAAGACTGAAACAAGGTACAGCAAGCAAGAAAGCTTGAGGGAATCTGTTAAAAGCCTGGGAAACATCATTCAGAATTTGGGCACAACTATTGGAAAAGGCCTATTTCAAGTTGCCATTTGCTTCACTTCTGAAGGTGTAATTATCCAGATTAGGATATCAACAGCAAGTCTTAACAAATGTTCAGCTTTGTGTGGAAAGTCTTTAGGGAATTGACATTTTCATACTTCTACTGTCCTCCCAAAAAACCCCAGTGTGTCTGGAAAGCATGCTATTCAGATGATCACATGAAGGTGGTTTGATCCGGGGATTATGTTGGAGTTCACAGTGATCTGCCTGACAAATGCATAAACATAATAGTGATTATACACATAAGCACAGACAAAGAATGTATGAGCAGCACTTTTTTTATTGCAAACCAAACACACCAAACAGACAAAATGCCAAAAATGGAAGAAGCCAATTATATGATTCTATATACTATGTACAAAGACATAAAGGCCAAGATATATGAGAAATATGATTGCAAACAAAATGCCAAAAATGGAAGAAGCCCATTATATGATTCTATATATGTACAAATACATAAAGGCCAAGATATATGAGAAATATGAGAAATTGTATATGAATAAATATCCCAAGCTGTTCGGATTTCCTTCTGAAATATTCGCAGGAAGGATGTAGACAATAAGCAATGGAGAGAATCTGCAGTCACGGTATGCATGTGGGGAAAAATGCCAAAAATGGAAGAAGCCCATTATATGATTCTATATATGTACAAATACATAAAGGCCAAGATATATGAGAAATATGAGAAATTGTATATGAATAAATATCCCAAGCTGTTCGGATTTCCTTCTGAAATATTCGCAGGAAGGATGTAGACAATAAGCAATGGAGAGAATCTGCAGTCACGGTATGCATGTGGGGAAAATTAAAGCTTAGAATTAAATGCAATGTTTAATGAACCCAAATGTTTAGAGTTGTTCTTATTGTTTAGTCCTTAAGTCGTGTTTGACTCTTCATGTCCCCATGGACCAGAGCACGCCAGGCCCTCCTGTCTTCCACTGCTTCTTGGAGTTGGGTCAAATTCATGTTGGTCACTTCGATGACACTGTCCAACCATCTCGTCCTCTGTCGTCCCCTTCTCCTCTTGCCCTCACACTTTCCCAACATCAGGGTCTTTTTCAGGGAGTCTTCTCTTCTCATGAGATGGCCAAAGTATTGGAGCCTCAGCTTCAAGATCCA